AAAGAATATATGCATCCCTGTGTTCACAGCAGCACTATTTACAATACCTAAGATCTGGAAACGTCCCAAAAGTGGTAGTACATTTACACAGTGGAATACTATGCAGCTGTAACAAAGGAGCTCTTACTCTTTGAGACCACATGGAAGGATCTGGAGATTATTATGCTATGTGAAATAAACTAGTCAGAGAAAGACAAATATCACATGATTTCACTTATATGTGGGATCTAATGAACAAAATAAACTGACAAACAAAATAGGACCAGAGACATGGATGCATGGAATAGACAGATCTCAAAGGGAAGCAGGGAAGGTGCACAGGAAGAGATTAACCTAAGAACTTATGTATATGCGTAGCCCATGGACACAAACAACAGTGCCGCAAAGGCCTGGGTGGGTGCGAGAAGAGGGTGGAGGGGTCAGTGGGGGAAAAGGGGGAGGGCATTTGTAATACTCTCAATAATAAAAATAAATTTTAGAAAAACATACATTGCTATTTTTTTTAAGTAGTTTGAGAACAACAAATGGAATTAATTGGAAGGGACTCACAGTGTACTGGAGTCAGGATCTGCGACCCTGGGGGGCCCAGAGAGCTCCTCTTTTATTTTTCCTCACCTGAGGACATTTTCCCATTTTTATTCAGATAGAGTGGGAAGGAGAGAGAGAGAGAGAAACATCAATGTGAAAGGGACACATCGAGTGGCTGCCACCCATCCAGGGCCAGAGACAAACTGCAACCGAGGTACGTGCCCTTAGTGGGAACTGAACTCGGGTCTCTCTGGACCGCAGGCCGACACTCTAACTGCTGAGCCAAACCGGCCAGGGTCAGATAGCTCCTCTTTTTATCTTTCAGGTTTTCCACTGGGGCCAAGGGCATCTCTCATCTCCATTTTCTTATACAGATCTGCTTCCTCCTCTCTTTGTTCTTTCTGTCTCAGTTTCATGTTCCCTGCCGGTTCCAGCTGCAGCTTCATATGACTTCACATCTCAAGTTCTTAACAGACTCCAATAGCTCCTCTTCCCAAGTCTGTATTCCCAGGGGAGAGAAAATGATTGGTCTAAGCCAGATCAGGTGACCATTGCTTGGTCCAATCAGCTGAGATTGATGACCATACATTTTAATTGCTCAAACCAGTGTACGTTTGAGGGAAAAGGAGGTCACTACTAATAATTACATTAGAACAACAGGTTCCAAGCAGAACTGCCCACGGAAGCTGCAGTGTGTGTTGACTGTAGATATAAAACATTGGGCTTCGGGAGCTTATTTATGTGGGCAGGGAGGGAGTCCTTAGAGAAGGGCAACATTGTCTGGGGGCGGGAATCCTTTCAAAAATGGCTAGGTGTCAATTCAACAATAAAAGCATAACTTTTTTATGTGTTCAGTATTACTGCAGAGGATTGCAGGAGACATAATCCTGCCAGGAGGTCACCCATGGAAAGAGACAACGTGGCACTCAGTGGCTGTTGGATGATGAGTGTTTGTTAGCTTAGCTGAGAGACCAGAGACATCAGGCCCTCATTCCTCAGAGTGAACATGCTGGAGAAACTTCGCCCCCGCCTTCTCTTCTTGTATGCCCCTCGAGGGCAGAAGACGGGAGAACAGAGCAGGTGACCTAGCTCAGGGCAGAGCACTTCCTCACCATGTTCTTCCTCCTCTCCCAGCCCACCTTTAATGTCCGCAGTTATTCTTCCTCACAGTGACACACCTCTTAATTCTTCTAGTCCAGCTGTTAAGCGTATGTTGTCCTTGGCCCCACAATATACCTTAAATACATTATGAGCTCAAGAACCATATGCAACACTGCTGACCCCTGGAGCCAGCCCTGTGCTGAGTACTGAGACCCTGTTCCAAATGCTTTTTGACTTTTTTTTTTAATCACAGGGTATTTGAGACTAGTGTCAGCAATTTCCATTGTCTTTTCTCTTAAGTGATGTCTCGGCAGTGAGCTGGCATCAGAGGGGAGGGTACCGTGTGAGGAGATTGCTAATATGCACATAGTTTGCAGTGAGAAAGTGAACATAAAAATGAGAGAAGTTCATATTTGGAGCTGAGTAGCCATGTACAAGGAAGCTAAAAATAAAGGTTTAGCCCTTACATCTTTATTTTTATACATTCAACCACCATGATGACCCTGAACAAGAAATGAAATTTAATTCTGATTTTCTTCAAGGATTATTGCCTTTTGCAATGGAAAATGACAACTCATCAATGTCTGCCGTAGGCTGCAAGGATGACCAGACAACAGAGGTTGTAAATGAAGCTGTGCTGCTTCAAGTAATATTATTCCTTAGCTATTTTGCTAAACTGAGTGTCTTTTTTTAAGTCAATGATGAGGACATCTAAGCTTGATATTCTGCTGAGCATAGTAACCAGTTCATTGCCCAGCATACTTCACTGAAGACCATATGAATTTATGCAAATTTTGCTGAGCTGCACAGTGATGCAGAATTGGTTTTACTAGTCAAATAATACTTTTTAAGAGTGCCAAAGCCAGATCTCCATAGCAGAAGCAAATTTTATAAGAAATAAATCTGGGAATAAACCACTTTGGAGGCTTACACAGAAAAAATTAACACAATGACACAATCTAACTGTTAACGGGTGTTCTTTCTGGCCCTGTTATTGGCATGCAATCTCAGTGGGGAGTTTCCTGTGGAACACCCAGGTTGGCCTCCTCCTCGAAGCCACATCCTACATTCATGGGTGTGGGTGCTACATGCTGACCTTATTCCTGTTTCCCCCATGGAAAGGTCCTGAGAGGTGTAGCGAGGTACAGGCATCTAGATAGTGCAATAGCCTCCTGCCAAGAGGGTGTCCTTGTACCGTGAAGAAGAGAGATGGGAAAGAAGCTGATCATCGACCCTCAACCCTTTCCCAGAGTATCAGGCACATCTGGGCATCCCTGAAAGGGCTCTGTAGCTGAAGCCTTGAGGCAGCTCCAGCTACATAATCATCAGTGTACCTGTTGCAAAAATAATTACGAACTTCAAGACAGCCAGAGCAGAGCATGAAGCCAACCACAAAACCCTTTCAAGGATGGGGCCCTGTGTGATTGCACAGGCTGCACACCTACGAGCTGCTCCTGCCTCATGAGATAAGTGCCTCAGTGTCTAAATTCAGAACAGTGCCATCCTCAGGAGCACTTAAAGGAAGGGACACTGATAGTGTGTGTGTGTGTGTGTGTGTGTGTGTGTGTGTAGTGCCTAGATCACACCACCAGCCCAGTACATTTGGCATCTTCTGAAGTGATGAAAACTCACCTACCTGATTAATGCAGATCAGTTTGCCTCCAGGAAGGTGCATGGAATCCTGAAATTCAAGTCCGGGCAGGCAATGGGAGGGAAAAGCCGAGATAATACATTCATTCAGCTAATCCCTTGTTTCACTGACTCCCTTTCAGTGACTTTCTACAGGTATAATCTGCACCCTCTACAGAATAGCAGAGGGATCTTTTACAAAGAGTACCTATCCTGGCCCCTTGCTCCCTTTTCCTGCCTAAAATATTTAAATGATATCTGGTACCTTCGACTCAAGTTGAGAATTCTCACCTTGACTCCAGGGCTATGTGTCCTGGTCTCTTTGGGACTCAAGCTACACCAAGCCTTCAGTGCTTGCCACTTCCCGCTGCCTCAGGCATTTTGCAGGGACTGTTCCCTGGAATGGCTTTGCTGCTTTTCATCTCCCCCCTGTGGTTTCCCCACCTCAACTTCCCTCTTTCTTGAGATCACAGTTTGCATGCTTTTCCACCCTTCCACCCATATACACTCCACCACCACCACCACCAGCAGTTTGGGTTATACACTCTCGTTGCGCCTTTAATTTGTTTTGAAGTCTGTCACCAGACTAGACTGCAAGCACCCCGAGGGGGGTCATGTCTGTTCTATGCACCATTCTGTCCCCAGGCCTAGCATAGTGCCTGGAACATGATGGATGCTCAACAGGTGTCTGTTGAGCGTATGAATGAATGTTCCACCCAGTTCACAGTTTATACTTAATTATACAATATTTTGTGTTATTTGTTGTCCTTTGCTAATTTCGTTGATGAGTTTTGAAGCTCTGACCTCAGGCTACATTTCTGTTTTTCTGCATCTTTCACAGTGCTTAACCAGAAGTACATGGTCAAGGGATGTTACTGACTAATAGCTTGTAAGCATTTTACACATTCAACTTCTTGCTATTACGGTGTAGATAACTGAGAGGGAAACTCAATTATGTACTTTGTGTATTATTATACATACTTTCTTCTGATTGGAGAGGTAATAACCAAAGCTCAACATAATTTTATTTATAGGATTTGTACCTCAAAAGAAAAATTCAACTGTGATATAAATCTCTCCCTCACAGTCTTAGGTTACCGATTTTGGAAATAGTCTTGACATAAGACTAAAGGACTGGTTGTGCTCAGTGTTCTCGGGTGTAAATGCACCACCCATTTTGGTACATAGTCATGTGCCTCTTAATGACAGGGTAGTTCTGAGAAGTGTGTCATTAGGCGATTTTGTCCTTGTGTGAATATCACTTACACAAACCTAGCTAGTGTAGTCTACCACACACCCACACTGTGTACCATCCTAAGGCGCACCAGCGTGTGTGCGATCCATCATTGACTGGAGCGTCGTTACAGGGCACGTGGCTATATTTAAATGTGCGAGCTCCCAACGTGCTGTAATAACAGCTGTTAGAATTTGTCTGGCAAAAGAAATTGATATGCAGTCATTCTTTCCTATTATGTAGCTTGTCCTCAACAAACGGCATTTGTAAGGTAGATGTTCAATGATAAAAGTCTTAATGGAATGCTCAGGGCCAATATGATTTTCTCAGTAACTTTTACAACTGAGACTCTGACCCACTGGGTCTTCAGTTCCGTCCAGTCTTTCGGATGGACTTCCCACCTTGCTCTGTTATGTGTGTAGATTGCAGACCTTGATAGCATTGCAAATATTTTTAGCATAATTAATAACAGTTTATCTTCCCACTTTCTTTCAAATGCCTTTTGCAGACAAGAAGCCCCAAACTGTCTCACAGTCCTCAACCTCCCAGTCTGGGCGACCCGGTGGAGCATTTATCAGAGACCTCTGGTGATTCTTTGGAAGCCATGTCTGAGGGAGAAACTCCAAGTCCTTTTTCCAGAGGCAGCCGGACTCGAGCGAGCCTTCCGGTGGTGAGATCGACCAACCAGACGAAAGAAAGATCTCTGGGTGAGCCTCACAAGCAGTTTCTGACGTCCCTTTATTATTGCATGTGCCTGTTTTTATACTTCTGAATTCATACTCCTACAATGGAGCATTAATTGGAGTTTGGTGTGTAAAAACACGAGTCCTCAGAAACTTTACTGACTGAACACAAGCAGGAAGACTGGCCTTCCAGGAAGCAGCAAGTCCAGGATGTCTTTGGGACTGGGCACATTCAAACCTGGCTGGGGTTAGACGCTCGAGCCAAAATGCTAACAAGTAGCTAGTGGTACTTGCATGTTTGCCTGTGTTTCCGGTATAGGGAATAGCGGGGACAGACTACAGAATGAGCGCTTTCTCAGGAACCTCCTACCTTGTCTCAGAAGCCTGGACAGCTGGAGTATGGGTCCTGTGACGTGGGTTTGCACCGGCCCCATGCTGCTGTCTGGCAGTCCAGAAGAGGATGTGAGTGGCTCCGGGAAAAAGAGGTGTGATGTGGCCAAAACTCCCGTGACTGTTAGTGAAAACTGTAAACGCGGGGCTGCTCATCCCACTACCACACAGAAGGATGCAGGAGGGGCTTGGCACACGTTTTGCAAAGCTTTTCCTGTAAATGAGCTTTTAGGAAAAATAGGAGGTTTCTCTCTTTCTGCCTTACCGCTTATCATTTGCTTTTTCATATTGGATGTTCACTTTCTATCTTGCTCTACTATTTTTTTTCTGGCCCTTTAACAAAATATACAGGTTATGAGGGCTTAGACCTCTTTGCCAGTTGAGCTGGTATTTCACAGGCTTACCTGCCATTCCAGGTTTTCCACTTGGTACCTGTGTTTGCAGACAGATGGGGTCAGGGAAGTGAGGGGACAGGAACTGGGTCAACTAAAAAAAAGCTTCATGGGTCCGTGCACAAGACCGCTAACTTCTGCCTTGTAAAAACCTTGCAGATGCTTTGCTTGAAGAAGAACAATGTGAGAAAGTATCCTGAGTGTGTTCCTCACTTGCAGATGACAAGAGCAGATTGGGTTCAGACATTGTCCTAGCTGTCCATAAACAAAAATCCTATTACTATTTGCATTATCAATGTTAATTTAAAAATTATATTTGTATACTTCATTTTAGCTTATAATCCAGTTTTCTCATTTCACAAATAAGAGAGGAAAAAAAAACAACACAAAAAATCTGCTTTTTAAAAAAAGTCTGGAGGTCACATAGTTGATTTAATGGCAGAAGCAGTTAGTCTAGGCTTCCAGTTCCTACGGCCTCTTTTACAAACGAAGACAAGGGACATAAAGGGATGTGACACACCCAGGGAGCATCGTGGGCCAGGGCCGTGTCCGTATGGCACAGACTTCCACTCTGGCACGAGGCTGGGGCTCTCCAGCTGGATTATGGAGCCTCGGGCTCTCTTAAACCCAGTCAAGCTTGAGGCAAGAGCACCAGGAGCCAGCTGAGGAGTGGAATTTCTCCTTTGTGCTTTGCAGGAAATAAGTGAGGTTCAGTTCTCTGTAAAGGTAGCCTATGCTTTGTGAAATAAAATGAAGATAAGAATAAATGCCTCTGTGCCTTCCCACACACCTGGGGAACACTGAACCTTCAATAATGGGCCCTTTGTCCTGTAGGCAGGAGCTTCCCCGGCAGCCATGAGTTGGCAGTGCCGGTAGATCCTGACCTGGGGAAGCAAGTCACGGGGCAGAGAGGCTGCAGGAGCCTGTGGCAGCCCTGCCCTAGGAATGGCTGAGGGTGGCTGGTGTTTTCTCTTGCCCTTCTGCAGAATGCTGAGTCTTACCCTGAGCACACCTTGCTGTCAAGTTCCTGAGAATGCAGAATCACAGCTGATTAAAAAGTACATCCGAGATGTTTATCCTTCCAGCTTAATAAGAGGCTTTTGGTCTGTGATTTTTACCACTCCTCGATAGAAACAAAGGAACACAGTGGAAGGACAGGAATGAGTTTTCCGAAGCAAGGGGAGCTGTGGTTCCAGAAAATGAACTGGCTGGCATTGGTCCAGTGGGGTTGGCGCTGCCCTGGTCACCTCTTGGTGGCCTGTTTGGGAATGTCCTCCCAGCTGCACCTGGCCTTGTGGAGTAATTCAGTTGAGCCTGGATGGGAAATAAACAGGAAAGTGAGTCAGAGAGAGTCTAAACATAATCTCCCTGCCAGGGGGCCTCATTCGGCTTTATGTTCAGGAAAATCCTGTGTGCCTGGCTTTATTTAACACTCAGACACGGGCTCCTGGGAAGAGCAGAGAGAGCTGGGGGCCAGGAGCAGCGGATGTCTCCCAGCCCTTGGTGACTCCAGGTCTCAGAGGCTGCAGATTGGATACTGAGCTGGGTACTCCTGCAAACCTACCGTTGGTGTCATTTGGACACCTGGGTATCTTTTAGAATCTCTACATTGTTGTTTTACCTTAATACACAAAAGTTTAAGTTCTTCTCCAAAGCCCTGTTGATCCTGCCTTTATTTAAAATTTTCGGTTTGTTCATCATGGATTTTTGCATTAATTTTGAAGTTTTTAAAATCACATTTTGATTACGTTTGGGGCCCCTTTAAATTTTGCACTCATGGAGAGTGCCTCCCTCCAGGGGCTGCCCCTTGTGTCACCCCGGGAACGACACATAGACACATACCGTGGCTGTGGCCTCAAAGCCACAGGGCCCAGAAACAGCTGAGTCCAGCCCAGTCCCCAGGCTAGTCTTCTGCACATGCGCAGTGTGTCACTCAGGCCGCGCAAGGGGGAGACCTGGGCACCCTGAGGGTGGAGCCGGGACCAGGCAGGTCCTCGGTCCACTCTGGCTCCTGGGACAGCAGGAAACTTCCCCTCACTTCAAACAGCCTGTGCCCAGAGATAAACCTGCCCGCTGAATCATTTCCCGCTGGACCAATTCCTCCTTTCTGTTCCTTGAGCGGGTTCAGGGCGTGGGCGGAGCGCAGGGAGGCTGGGTGCCTTTCCAGAGGCTGTAGGCAGACAGAGGAGAGAGAAGGGGCAGAGAGGGGAGCCTTGGCCAGGGTCTGCTTTCATTCTCCCCAGATGCTCCCTGCAGGCAGGATGCGAGCCTCTCTTGGGAAGACGCGCTCGGGGGTGCAGGCAGGACCTGTGCCGGACGAGCTGCACGGTCCTTCCGATGCCGAGGGCCGGCCAGCCAGTCCTGGAGCCTCCCAAGCGGAAGGCAGAGAAAGGAGTGTGCTCGGCGGCTCTGATTTACAACGGGACCGGGGTCCGGCGATCCACACCTCCAAATCTCCACTTCTGCAGGCTGCTGGGTTCCCCGCCTGCTCCCCCATCGGAACCCAAACGAAATTCTTCTCGGTGTCATTTCCACCATTTCTCCTTCCCTCTCTCTTTAGTGAAAACGGAGACGATGGGGAGAAAGGACATCTACAAAATAAACTAAAAACCGCTGTGCAGTAGATTGGGTTGGAGAAAGAATTTCCATGAAAAACTGCCCCGCTCACACTGGGCCTGCGCCTCCGCGATGGGGTCGTTGGTGGCCTTTGAATCATCGCCGTCTTGTAAATGCCTGTCTGGAATGTGACCACGGGCAGGGGCTGCGTCTGGCCGCTCGCTGTCGGCGGGGAAAGGGCAGCCGCAAGACGTTCCCACCCTTCTGTGTGCACTCAGGAATTTGAAAATAAAACTCATGTGAAAACAAGACGAGCAGCAGCGCGTCCTTCGTGCCGCAGCCAGATGCCTGTGTTGACCGTATTCTGAATGGTTCGCTTGTCCTTTCGTCCTCTCAAAGGGGTCTCTTTGGATGAGGTACCCGTGGTCAGTTTTTCCCTATATGGATTGTGCTTTTGGTGTTATGTCAAAGAACCGGTCACACAGTCAAAGTTCTGAATAGCATCTCCTTTTTTCTGTCAGTGTTATATGTATGTATTGTGCATTGCGGCCCGTGATCTATTTTGAGTTAATTTTGTACAAGGTGCGACCCTTACCAACCTGGCAGCCAGATGTGTTGCCACGTCGGAAACAGTCTCTTAACCGTGCAGACTCAACAAGCAAGAATGATTTTAAGTGGCTCAGGAGGATTTTAGACTAATTGAGGACAACTTTTTCCATGCCTGTGAATTGTTGAGTATCTGTGTGGCTGTTCTTTTCCTCCAACAAGGTAGCAGTTGATGGTGACCATTCCCAGGGAAGGAGGGCTTGTGAATTTAGGAAACAGAAGGTTCACAGTCCCTCCTGTGCTCACGAGTGGGTAGGGGCTAGAGCAGAGGATGGAGGAAACCTCCATCTGCTAAGTGGGAAGCTTGGAAGGGTTACAAGCAAAGACTGTTCTCAGATTATTTTAGTGTGAAGATGATCCCTTGCATAGTTAAAACAGAAATAAATGTTAGACAAATGAAAAGTAGTGTTGCTCTATAGAGTAAGTGAAACATGTATGAAATTTGTTGTTCTAAGTGCTAGTGGTAATTGAAATGTAATATTATAAAAACAAAAACTTACAGGAGAGAGTTTCAAAGCTGCTCAATAGGTTTGGGGCACATTCCTGGCCTTTCTAGGGTGCTATCAAAGAAAAGGTCTGAGTATTTTCTCTAGTATGGGAACGAAGTAGAGGGTGTGGGTAGATATGGCAAACTGCAGGCATGGTCCACTCCAGCCTCCTCCCGGCTTGCCTTGCTTTGGAGGCAGGAAACAGGCTTATTCTGGACTATGAAATGCGCTGAGTTCCAGAAGTAGGAACCAAGGTGTTTGTAGAGGCTTTTGGGTGTTCTTCAGCATCATTTGCCAAGGTCCCAGGGCAATGCTACCTTGATGGCATTGAAAGTCAGGGTACAAGGCTTCCATTTTTCTAGTACTGGGGGCACAGGTGTGGCTGGGCTTTCTAGCACCTCCCGGAAGCTTCCTGCTCAAGGCAGTGTAGCTTTGGAGTCATGCTGTCCGGGGTGCTGGGGAGCTTCCCCTTTGTCAGAGGTCCTGCAGTGTCCCAGTTCTGTAATTAAAATCAGCCTAAAGATTCTACAAACTCCAGAATAACTCCGTATTTGCTTAAACTAGCTCAGGTCTCTGCAACTGAACCATGACT